ACCACTCGACCTGACCGACTTTGTCTCTGCTCTTCTGCTTTTCTTCTTCCCCTTCTTCTTTCTTTAGTTCTTTCTTCAGTTCTTGCAAAACACTCTCTTATCTTCGTCTTCGTCTTGTGTTTGGCCAACAAGAACACACACAGACACTNTTGTTGAATTTCGTTGCAAACATTGCTGCCATTCAGCGGAGGCAAATATTTGGTAGTGTCAATAGACTGCAGCAGCTGCAGCAAATTACACAGACGGGGGAGTAAGCGGAGCTTTTTCTTCCTCTCATTTCTTTTCTTCAATCTAGGTGCTCACTTCTCGGACCGATATTTGTGCCCGGTGGCTTCTGGCATTTAGGCAGTTAGGGTTTCAATCAGGGCCGTCTCTCTCACTTCTTTCCTGTCATTTGCGAACTGACTGCTTAAATGGCAAATGGTGTTGATTGAGCTTGGTGGTGGTGGTGGTAGTGTTCCCGGTGACATCGATACCTCCTCCTTTCCTTTCCCTTCTGCTGACGGTGTCACTTTTAGTGCACAGACATTTGCACTGACACTAGATCACGCTAACCAGCTTCCTTTTCCAGGCCTTTGCCAGGCAAGGGAAAAAAGCGGTAATCATCGAATCATTTTCAGGCCAGGGCTTACCACACTACATCCAGGACCAATGATATTCACTATACACACTGCACTAATTACCGCTGCTGAACTTTACTGTCAAGACACAAAATTCCGGTAATGGTGGTGTCAAAGATTGGCTGCCGTGCATGAATTTGAGATGAAGTTATTAGCAGCAGCAGAGAAAGGTCATGTGATTTCTAACCCCGTTCAAGATTCTTAGCCACTATACTACTTCTTTGCTCTATAGCGTGTGCTCATGACTTCTTTAATTAGATGGGCTTGTCTGCTGTTGCTGCTTCTGCTTCTGCTGTACGGTGCTGACATTTAAATGTGATTGCTCTCTGGCTCATGTGCTCACTCACTTTGAGCATTTTCTATGCTTACCTGCCTACTCACCCATTAAACGCTGATTTGCTGCTGCTGCTGCTGTCGATCACTACCGATTGACACTGACTGTGATAGTGGTGATCATACTGATCACACTCACTCACTCACAGCAAATCGATCATTGGGTTCTCTTTTTCTTTTTCTTTTTCTTCTTCTCTTGGACGACGGCCATTAGACGGCGGAGCACGAGAGTGCAGCGTTGTTGTGGTAGTTGGCACAATGAGTGTGTGTGTGTGTGTAACGAATCTCGGCGCAACGCTGCCAACAAATTTTGCGTGCCGTACTGCCATTCACCGGTGCTAGATCTTCTGCTAGAAACACAAACACACTGACAGAGTGCCATGCCATTCCACAGTGCCATGCCCACACCACAAACAGGCAAACGAAGAGAGAAAGGAAGAAAGAAGAAGAAGAAAGATGACCAGCAATGACCGCTTTGCTTTGCTTTGCTCTTCTCCTGTTTGACAGTCTTATTTACTTCATACTGATTGTATGAGTGCGCTTTCCCAGTGATTCTATTCTTTCGGTTTCGGTGCTAACTCTGCTAACTGCTAAGTAAACGGTCTCACTGTGACTGACTGACTGTGTTTGTGGTGGTGATTTGTGCTGTGGCAGTCAGTCAGTTCTGAACTTGGCCACTAATTATAGCCGCTCTCCGGAGACGTCCTTCTCGGTTGCCTGCTCGCTCTCTCTCTCTCTCTTTTGCATTGGTAATTCTTCACTGTCACTAACTGGCATCATCTTTTTTCCTTTCCATTCTCTTTTTTAGCATCTCACCACCGCCTGCTCGCTCGCTTGCTTTGACATTTCCCTTGATGGTCGTTTGAATACTGTGGTTAAGAAGACAGAAACAGAATCCAAATAATGGCCGAAGACTCGAACATGGAGCAGCCGACGTCGGACGCCTCGACGGCGGACATCAGCCACCCGGGCGACGGGCTGACCACGACCACCACCAGCAACACCTACAACAACCACGACCAGAGCCAGAGTAAGGCCAGCTCGAAGAAGAATAGTAAAGTTGCTGTTGCGGCGAAGGAGACGCAGCGGAAGAAGAGCTCGAGTGGAGGCTCGAGGGCCTCGAACGTCAGCATTCAGGTGATACTGCTCGATGAGGAGGAGTTTGCCTGTCAGGTTGATGTAAGTGACAAAATTTGTGATAATTTTGAGCTTTCAGGTGCTATGAACTCATTTTTCCTCTTATTACACAGAAAAACGCCAAGGGCGACGAGGTGCTGAACAAGGTCTGCGACTACCTGAACCTCCTCGAGAAGGACTACTTTGGCCTGTCCTTTCGCGATCACGAGGACTCGAGGGTGAGGACGGCGCATTTTTTAGTGGCTAATCTCATTTGCTAATCTCCCCTTCTCCTCTTCCTTTGGCAGAACTGGCTAAATCTGGAGAAGCGCATTGGCAAGCAGCTGAGAAGTACGTCTAGTGTTTTTTTGGCGCTATTTTCGAACACCATTTTCTAACCTTGAATATTATTCCTTTTCTTTTTGTTCACAACAGACACCTCCTGGATCCTCCGCTTCGAGGTGAAGTTCTACCCACCGGACCCGACCCAACTGCACGAGGACATCACCCGGTACTTGGTCTGCCTGCAGATCCGCAACGACATCCTCTCCGGGCGGATTCCCTGCTCCTTTGTGACGCACGCCATTCTCGGCTCCTTCCTCGCCCAGTCGGAGCTGGGCGACTACGAGGTGGGCGAGCACGACGAGGGCGGCCACTACCTCAGCGCCCTCCACTTTGCGCCGAACCAATCGGCGGAGTTGCAGGAGAAAGTGGCCGAACTCCATCGCCAACATCGAGGCCTCACCTCGGAGGAGGCGGAGCTGCAGTACCTGGAGAATGCGAAGAAGCTGGCGATGTACGGCATTGACCTGCACCCGGCGAAGGAGCAGTCCGGCCTGGACATTATGATGGGCGTCAGCAGCAGTGGGCTGCACGTCTTCCGCGACCGCCTCCGCATCAACCGCTTCAGCTGGCCGAAGATTCTCAAGATCAGCTACAAGCGCAACAACTTCTACATCAAGATTCGCCCCGGGGAGTTTGAGCAGTACGAGAGCACACTGGGCTTCAAGCTGCCCAACCACCGCTCGGCGAAGCGCCTCTGGAAGACCTGCGTCGAGCACCACACCTTCTTCCGGCTGATGCAGCCGGAGGCGCCGCCCAAGGCGAAGCTCTTCCTGCCCCGCTTCGGCTCCCGCTTCCGCTACTCGGGCAAGACGCACTACCAGACGCGGATGGCCAGCAATCTGATTGACCGGCCGCCGGTCAGCTTCCGCCGGTCGCTCAGCAGCCGCCACCTGACGAGGAGCATTGATGGAGGTAAGTGTCACTGTGCTGGTGTTGTTTTTATGACATTGACTTTTTGGGACTTTTGGCTGTGGTTTGTGCATGGGTTACAATTTAATTTTATGTTTTGCATCTTACTAACTTCTTCTATTTATTTGAATGGCCTTTAACCCCTTTTTGCATGTTTGCATGTTTGCATGAAACCCCTAACCAAACCGATCACTACCAAAACTTAACTCTCAACAACAACAACAACAAGATGAACACGAGTACGATGAGATGAAGCGCTTTCGCTCGGTTCCGGCCCTCCGAACCACCAACTCCCGCACGCCGGGCCACTACAGCACACAGACCTCGAACTCCTCTTCGGTGGGCATGATGATGATGGCTGGGGGCAGAGGAGGAGAAGGAGGAGCTGGAGGAGGTGTTGGTGGTGGTGGTGGCTATGGAGGTAGTGCCAGAGAGTCAGATGGAATGGCCGCCTTCCAGGAGTACCAGGGTGGTCTGATGAATCGAAAGCGAACCTCAGTGGGAGCGGCTTCCTCTTCAGAAGGAGGAGGAAAAGCCTCGCCGAGCAACAATTCCTATTCGACGTTACAAGGTCTGCTGATGCGGATGTTCACATTCGGAGTGTTTTCCCAATCTCTCTTTTTCACTCTCACTTTATTGCTAAATTGCTTGTTTCACTTGGCACTTGATCACTCTGCTTGCCTTTTTCTCACTTTTTTTTTCTAAACTTTAACCTTTTCTGTGTTTGGACTGCTTTGGATGAGTGAAAGATTTTGCTAATTTTTTTCCCTACTAGGCACTCCTCGATCCACCGCCTACGAGACCTCCACGCTGGACCGGTCGCCGAAGAAGAGCCGAGTGGGCAGCGGCGGCGCAGTGGGCGGCGGCTTTCACGGCGGTGCGACCACCTCGATGGAGGCAATTCCCTCCTCGGGAGGTGGTGGAAGCTCGAATCGACACTCGGCGGCCTTCACCTCCTCGGCGGTCACCTCGCCGACGACGCCCCCCAAACAACAGCAACAGCCTGGACAGCGGAAACCAGTGGGCGGCATTGCCGTCCTTCCGCCCATGGAGATGCGGCGCATTGAGGAGCAGCGAAAGACGCCCACGCCCACCGGCGATGGAAGGCAGTCACAGGCAGGAACACAGGGTGGTGGTGGTCGGCCGTTTTCGGCGGCCTCACTCAAGAGTCCCACGTCAGAGACGACCTCTGAGGTACTGTACAATGTGCTGTGTTTTTAACCTTGAAATTCTCAGTTTGTTTGACCCGTTACCACCCCCGTTCCTTATCCGCTTGCCATTAACCACCGATTTTGTTTTTTCTTCTCCTTTTTTTTGTTTTCGCATGTTTCGTCGTTTGTTTTCGTTGTTTTTATTTCGTTTTTTATCTCCTTATCTCTTCTGATTTTTGCATGGTCCGTCAATGTGCGTGTGTGATTTTGTGTCTTTCGTCTACCTTTATCATCATCATCATCACCATCATCACCACCATCAGCTCTCCTCTGCCCCATACACTCGCCAGCCTGGCGGCGGCGGCTCCTACGGCTCGCTGAAGAAAAAGAGCGACCGAGATGACTTCTTTTCACGAGATGATCATCGAAGGGCCACCACAACTACGACCACCACCACAAACGGCTACACTGGCGGTGGAAAGGAGACTGACATTGACCATCCGCCCACGTCCAGTCAGCAGCAGCAGCAGCAGCAGTCTTTTATGCTGCGCAACTCGACCAAGTCGCCATTTGTGAAGGAGTACACCTACTTACACTCTGAAGAATCTCAGCCGGAGGGAGGAGCAGGAGGAGTGGGAGGGCAACAGCAGCAGCAGCAACAACAACAACCGCCCACTCGTAGAGGAGATCCTCGCGACCACGGCTTCAGCTACATGGACGACCATCGGACGGGGTCGCCGCTGAGGTCGCCGGGAATGACCACCGCAGCCTCTTCAGCTCGATCGCCCACCTCGCCCACCTCCCCCTCAGCCAGGCCGATGACCGGCTTTGCCTTTACCTACAAGCCTGATGGTGGTGCTGCTGGTCAGACGCCACCTAAAGGAGCAGGAAGTCGTGCGAGCACCTTATCTCCGGGCAGTACCACCACCTCTACCAAATCTCCAGCCAGTGCAATTAATCGAGGTGGTGGTCGAGAGACGATGATCGGTGGTGGTGGTGTTGGTGCTGGATCACCGATGGGAAAAACTACTACCACCAC